CGTTGAAAGAACAAAACGGATCGAAAGGACCAAATCTATCCTTCCTGATAAAGCACAAAAAGCCTGTGAAATTCAAAGTTTGGAACATATCCTGTCCATGAAGTAAATACTGCCCAGCTGCAAACTAAAATGCCAAATGGGGGTGGTACACTTTGATAACTTGACATTACTCTTAGTGAATTTTGTCCCACCTCTTAGTCTTCATTAAGCACTTACAGTCACATTTCGAGATAAGAAATGAGCATATTTTTCCTTACTACCGGTAATAATCAGAAGGACTGTGAAGCAAAAGGCCTTTAGATACAACAAAAAAAGGCAGAAACACGATGGAAGAGATAACGTACTTCAAATAATTTCATAAACTTACAATAAAAAATTTGATTGGATAACAGTTTGAAGAGGAATGGGTGGGGGGAGGGGAGGCGGTTGCATTTCTTGACCTTTTTCTGATATCCCCACACTTATGCCAGAGTGCATCGGGATTGTTAATATTCGGGTATTAGTATTCAGACGACAGATATTTATGCGGTCATTACTCAGCTGCTCACAGTGTCAAGACTAATAAAATAAAACGTAACTCCGCCAAACTATAAATTTGAAATCTAACTTTATCCTTGGAACAGGGAGTATAAATTTACTTCTTTCGGTAAAATGTTTGCCAAGGAAGCATTACTGGAGAAAAGTGGTCACCTGTCAAATCAAGTGAAAAGCCGACGAACCCTATCGACTCCTAGCGACCAAAATGAGTTAGAAGGCGAGTTTCTAATAAAAGATGTCACTTGTCTGACTTGTGAACTCTTTCAACAGCAACAAAGATGTAGTATAAATTCAGATTTTCTGTTAACCATTGAATAAAATGCCTTAAATGTTCTACCTGAGATGGTAGCGCAATAAACCAGGCCGCTGAATCTGGCATAACACCTAGTAAAACCTAGAAGGCACAAAACTCACTTGCATTTTTAATGAGAGATGGTAAATAAGAGTGGTTCACTTTAAAGCCAACCACAACCACACTTCACTCACTTTCTCAAAACAATTTAACAGCTCCCAAAACCGTTTTTTGAAATTGTTGAAAAGAAAGTCTGAGAAAAAAGTGATCGAAAAAGGCAAACACCATTGATTCGTAGGTGAAAATGCAATCAGAGATAAAACAATAGTAGAAAATACACCTATTGAAAGTAGGAAAAAGTGTAAGAAAAGAATACGTGCTAACTCTCCTGTATTAGAATTAAGAGATAAAAAGTGAATAAATTGTATCAGCATTAAAAATTCGTCTTCACTCACTCCAAGCCCAATTTTAGCAAAATTTTCGTGGCAAACACTGCAAACCTATATCAATCACTAAAGGCAGACAAGACCAACTTGAAGGGGTAATTAAATAGATATGCGTTGATGCATATCTCAACTGTTTTATCATAACAGCTTCTAGCCCCTTTGATAAATCAAACACAATAACTGTATTTGAGAAAATTCTAACATCTATGCGCAAAATTTAGATCTAACGAAGGGAAATCATCTGAAACGACTAAAGGCGAGAGTACAGAGAATAGCGCATGATTTACAAACTTTGAATGTCCACAAATTTGCCAGCATATATGTCTTCAAGTATTTTTTCGAGCATTGTTTTCAGCGCTTCAAGTTTCAAACAAGTCGGATATTTAATTGAAATACAAAAGAAAGTAATTTATTAATGCCGCATTAAACCCTCAAACCAGCTTGAATACAAATTTGGACAGAAAATGCTAAAATAGGGCAAATAATAGTAAAAAGCCCTGTTCCTTAAGATATAATTATTTTAAAAAGGTGTATTTAAAGCCATCTTCCCTCTTACAAAATATTGAATTCCAGTTATTTATATTTAACTTCAATATTATTTACTTTATAAAGCAGAACAATAAAAAGTGCGGATACGTTCTTTCTAATTGAATTATCTGAGTTAATCTATATAAGTGTCAATCAATAACTGACAATTGATCCTTTCAATTTTAATTGTGTTAAGAATCTCCTACAATTCTTAATTAAAGTTCACATTTAACCGAGCACGTTTTGCGGAAAAAAGAACACTTTACCATTTAACCCATTCATACAATAGCCTGCAGTCAGTAAATCTCCACTACAGTTGCTTTCTCGTTAAAGTAGCAGCAGTCAGTTAAAGAGAGAAAATGGTAAACTTTAGAATGATTTATGTACGCAGTTATGTTAATAAAGGCATACTATTTTAACGGAATACGTAATAATAAAATCATAAAGTATAAAGCTTGCACGCATCTACCAAATGAGCATGCCTAAACCTCATGCAGGAAAGAACATAATTAATGTAATTAACTTTTAAAAACCCGTTAAGGGAAACGTCATTATTGCTTCACTTGGGAAAATGGAAGGAATTCTAGAGCAGCTCTAATTGCTAACCAGAAATACCCAGGAAGATCAGACATCTGAAACACTAGACGTGCACAAGTAAGAATCGACCACATGAGAAGGCTGGACTGACAGATGTGCAGATTGACCACGGTGCAAACAAGACATGACGAAATAGGAAGACACATCTATGAAGATGGAACAGGAGGCAAATCTCAATAAAGAAATTGTGAAGTTTTAAGCATAGACCTTCATTTAGCTGCCCAATACAGTACATTTGTTTTATGCAATATTTAAGATGAGGGAAAAGAATAAGTAAGATAATAGGCATTAATACCTACCTTCGTTCTTAAAGTGGTGTCCATTGCAACTTCCACACCGTTTATTTCTACAGTCAATTCAAAACGAGCCTAATGCTACACAAAAATACTTCAAAGAAATTCATTAGCAAAAAGTAGGAAAAGAACAGATCTTCAGGAAGTAGCATCCAAATTAAATTTAAAAAAATGAGTGCAAATTCGCCTTTAATTTATTAATACTTGGGGTTCGAAACACAGGCGAATGGTAAGCGTTTATGGTCTAGATGGGAGAATGACAATTTGGCTAGGAGTGTAATGTGAATTCGGATATCGGCACACATGAGATAAACTGAGGGAATTGTTTAGCCTGAAGTAGGCAACGAGATTCAAGAAAAAGTAACCCTAAAACACGATGGATGGGAAGGAACAATTTTAATTCACAAGCAGATGAAATTTTAGAATAATCCTATATTTCCTCGAAGCTAGTACAGATATACACTAATTGAACACAATCAATTATTAAGGGAAAAAAATAACCTCCATAACAATTGGTTAACTAAAACAACCGACGCATAAAGGACTGGCTAGACCTAAATTAACGTTGAATGTATTACATTATTTATAATTTTATTTTTTGCTTTGTTTTCTTCATTATTAGCGGAATTAAAGAAAGTGAGACCACTAAAAGCTAGTAATTAGATTAAAAGCTGAGTGATGAAAATAGTAGAAACTTGTTAAGGAAAACAAATTTCCCCGACTTTTCTACTGCTGCCACTGATGCCCAAGTCAAGCGGATACTTTCAACTTGATAACCAGTTCCAAGGATGAACAGACTCAAATAATACACACACACACACACACACACACACACACAAAGGATTACTAGTTTTTGGTGGTTTGTTGTTATGAACGATATAATGAAATTTTATTGAGGTGACCATTAACAAGGTAAATCTTGAGAGAATGAGGGGAGATATTAGATGATTACAATTTTTCTCGTAGAATTAGATATTAAAATGCATGTGCTAAACTTAAGAAATAAAATATGGGATTCGAGGTTTCTCAATAGGCAAATAAACTCTAACACGCATTGTGCTTCATTAATAAAAAAATCAATGAGGCGAAAGGGCAAATAACCTGCTCAGATGACTAATGCCATGAGCATTTATGACAAATATACGATTGTTTATAAATTAATTGTTAAATTGTCTGAATGATATTTTGGAAAAAAGTTTACACTGGTAGAAAGCGAAAGTGCTGTGAGAAAATAAACCAGCAATCAATGTTTTGCTAACCCCTAAAAGTTCAATTTCATATAATGACTTAAAAATAACCCAGGATCGTTAAAATTGACGAAACGTGACAGATGATCAGGCATTAGAACGCTCTCTCGACTATAAAAGAACTTGAGTGATCGAAATATTCAGATCTGAATGCAGATGCCGGCTTCATTTAAAAGCTACACATTAAAAAAACAGAGGAAAACCAGCAAGATTTCTTTAACTATGGCCGAGAAAACTTTAAACCCGAACGACAACACATCTCTGCCTTTCAACCAGTGTATATTTTCATGCTCAAATTATGCAAAGCAAATAAACGACATCTATGAAGGTGTCCACACTCTTTGCGTCAAATCGAACAACACACCGTTTAACGAACTCAAAACAGGAAAATCATTCACTTATAAGTAGCACAGACCGGTTATGAGGACTGAGACAACATGAAACACGTAAAGTTTAGTACTGAAAGAGAAAGGGAAACCTTTAAAGACTGCAAAAAATTTCCAGTATTTATGAGAGTAGAAATGATGTCGCGACGAAAGGGTTGTCTAACTGAAAGTTGTACTAAAATCTAGTGCATTCGTTGTTATATTAGTTAGATAATCCACCGCATTTAGAAAAAGTTCTAACAGGTGTATAATTTTAATTTTCCAATAAGGAGGCACAAAGGTCTACCACTTTATTTTCGCCAAGGCCAGGCTAACACTTAAAAAAACCCGTCTCGTTTCTTAACACAATGGAATTAAAAGAGAAGGCATTTATCTAAGAAGTTATAAAAAAGAACAAACTAAAAAGTATGATTAACAGGAAATGCAGAAGGTTTTGACGATTTGTGCCAACCGCTGAGTAAAGTGCAGTTAAATACTCAAAAGAGTTTTGAAAGTCCGAGTTCAAATTTTCACAGAAAATATCACTCATTAAAAGCAAAAAGGAAAAACTCAATACACGAAAAGTAAGATGTATGGTTAATCTGGAAACAAAGGTATAATCAGTTTTTTTTAGTAATTAATTAATACATCATGCTATTAAACTTCTCATTCTTGTTAGCGCAAAGCTTACTCCTTTATGTGATAATAAACGATACATTAATGCAAAAAAGTAAGAAAACTTGCATTTCTTTATCCATAGTAACCGGCGCAACCAGTGCTCTTGGAGGACCAGCCCTGCACTGCTGTAGAGGTCGGTATACTGGAGGTGTATCGCGAGTGCCGCTTTTCTGCACGACTCGACTGTAGTCTTCAAATTTCGAATCTAGTGAAAGAGAAGCCTTGATACGTTAAATCATTAGCACAGCTTTTAATCATTGATTCCAACGCTATAATTGACTGGACGTTTTATTTCACCTGGAATGTTCCCTTAAGTCCGCATTTTTACTACCATCAAATGCACATTGTGCCCAGACCACTATATCCATCCACTTCTGAAAATAGCAAGCAATAGGGTATTTCGGAGTTAAAATTCTACGATACTAAGAAAACAATGATCCGTAACGATCGAAAATAGTTGTAAATTTTTACCTTTCACCAAGCCAATGTAAAATAACACTTAGTCATGGACTTTAGGAAAAATTATGAGGGATAATATGTAATAGTTTATAAGTAATAGCCAAATATGTTATCAATCCAAGAAGTTACCAACTTAGGTTCGACCAAGAATAAGACGGATCAGGAAATGAAAAAAAGACAAAAAATTGGAAAAAAATGCCTTAACTTTTCTAAACCAAAAGGTACGAAATCAGGTTATCGAAAAGAAAGTTACAAATATTTTATTTGAAAATTAAACCCGATTATTTGCCTTGGGAATCATGGTAATTAGCTCGGTTATTTAAACGGTAATTAGACTAATTAATTTAAAGCAAAACTACATTCAAAACATTTAAAAAAATTTGACAATAAAATAATAATAAAATCTATACTTAAGAACTTATCATCATCATTATCATCACTCAATTAATCCAATTAAGGCGGAATATGAGTCCACCATGCACCAGTAGAGGGATTTTCATTTTACCAACAGTTAGCTAAATTAAATACAAATTCCATTTACAGCATTTAACTTTGGCTGGACAAGATGTGCGGTAAATACCCATGAGATATACTAAGTTGGAATATGTAAGCCGGCGAATATCTTGGATATTCTAAAAAAATAAGATCAAGATAACAGCAATGTAACTAATTTTAAATCACTTTTTCGTCTGAATGTGCACTTTCACATAACTGGCTCAAAATCAATACTGCTCAACGAAGTTTGAAGAAAATTTTAACATGAAACGGACACTTAGAGCTAAACAATGCAAGAGGAACCTTATAAAGTTCAATGTGATTGGCCAGCCTTGTAATTTTTCATAAATTTTAAGACGCTGTAAAAATGAATTCATTCAGGGAAGCAGGAAACGATAACTGAAGTTCTGACGTTCGAAAATTTATGTTGGTAAATATGGAAGAAATAAAAAATGCTCAACTGAATCTGAAGATTCAATTTTGTAAACCTCTCTTGATGCCCCAATTTCGATTTATAGCCAAATGTGATCTCCTATCCTCAGCACGTATTGAATTGTTTTACTGTCCCAAAAGCACGAGAAATGATATAGGAATTTGCATTAGATGAATAGAAAAGCGAAAAACGAACAGGTTATCATAAATAATAATTTTGTAAAAGGTACAGAGATGCTTCAATCTGATCCTTCATAACTATGCAACTGTTTTGACAGCGACTTCAATAGCCTTCCTTTCATCTTACTCAAAAGCGTATGACGCTACAAGTTGTATCAAACATGAACTCAGAGCTCAAACACGATAAGATGTGAATTGATATGGCTAAAAGTTTGAAACAAAAAATACACCTTCAACAGAGATTTTTGGTTATTAAGCATGAAATTTAGCGGAAAAAGCTACATAATAGAATTTTAATCTTGAAAATAGGATTGCTATAAAACTTGGATTACGACTAGGGACTCTGCGCTATAATATCACTCTTTAACACTTTTGCAACATTCGATTGAGGCTTAGCTGTCAAAAACGCAAGCGAAAATAATAGTGGATATTGGTTTTCAAGAGCGAGGGTTCATATTCATTTTCATGTTCTCATGTGCTTTGAGTAGAGGGTGAAGACTTTCTAATGAGAGATTCGAATCCTACCACCCCTTATATTAGCTAAACTCAACCTGCGTACGCGCTGAGATGGAAATCGAGTTCATGATACCTGGCATGGAAGATGTACACGGTGATAAATTACCATGTTGGGGAACAGAAATTAGCAAGTGGACGGACAAAATGAATGGAGAAGTGTGTGATTCAAAGAATATTAAGTCAAAGAGTGTGAAATATTGCATAGTAAGAACTCAATTACAGCTCCAATATTTATGGAACATCCATAAAAATTTTAACTATAGTAACTGAACAAAATATAGCACATATTTCAGCCATTTTCCTTTCAGTTGTTTGATATAACGAAAATAAAGCTCAATATTTGCAACTGGTGAAGGTGATAAAAAAGGTTTAGTGTTGAGGCTAACATCGGCGAATTAAAAACATTGGACCTATGAAATATGTTTTCTTCCCAATGTTTATCTTCAATAGCTAGAGTTTGGTAACACAGAATAATATTATGCAGTGGCAAACTCAGGTTCAATAGTGGGAACATTTTAGTCCAATCACAGAAAATTTCAAGACAGATATGACGCTATGATAAACAGTGATGACGTTAATTGACAAGATATAATAAACACACTAATTGAAAGCCCGTCTTAATACACGTCTATTATAAATGCCAAAAGTTAACGAGCTTGTATGCACTATAAGATATCTAAAACCCACCCAACCAACAACCTTTTATAATCGCAACAAACCAAAGTCTTAATTTCAGCAAGCAGTCGTTAAAGAAGTGTTTGAACTCACTCAACAATCAAAAGAGAAATTCCCACTGCATTACCCCCCCCCTTTTGGCAAAACTAAGCCAAAACAAATTGGTATAACCTCACGCAAACTTACTTTCCTGCGGGAACGGTAAACCAGTTGGTTTGGGTGAGAGAATTTGCGTGGCAGGTACGAGATGGGAGGCCAGAGGTTCGCTAATTTCTCCAGATAGGGCAAAGTCAAGAAGACTCTTTGCCAGCCAGAAGCAGTCTAAAGAAGGACAGAATGATTGCATACTTAATTATTTAATGGAAAAGAGAATTTGAAACACTTGTAATTAAATATATTATAGAACTCGTATATTTTTATAAAAACGCTTGCTTTTCCATTTACTTCCTTAAGTAAACCATAAAAAATAGAGAATACTCATTAGCAATAGATAGCCCCTGTTGAAACGATCAGTGTGTGTGTGTGTGTGTGTGTGTGTCAGTCACAATTGCAATAATTGAGTTAAAGATTGAAAGCTGCAAATATTACTTCAACTTTCCCCTCATTGAACAAAACATTGAAAACTACTTATCCTCGTGTGCAAATTACGCCGTCGATGCAACTATTGCAACCAAAGGAATAGAAATGTACAGCACTCAAAGCTTACAAATTTGAAAAACAAACTAGTTGTGAAGAATGTTCCACAATCCACTGAGTTTTTGCTAATCTTTTTGGAGCATTGATTAAAAAAATCAATCATATTTTACATATTAATAAATTTGCACTGATTGCATGAAAAACATTGTAGTTTCAGATCAGAGCAGTTAGCGAAAAAAGTTGAAACGTCAATACATTGGCATAAAAATAATCGTTATTTTCGAATTAGTGAAATGAAATTTCAAGATGGCACTTTATTCCGCAGATCGTAAAGTTGAAATAAAACGCTAGATTTATACTATTTCGCTGCGTTACTATTTGATTCGTCTATTATTATACTTGACTGAAAAGGAGATTCAGATTTCAATAAATTTAACAATGTGATTTAATTATTTGAATGTAAAATGGAAATGCAAAAAATTCGCTATTTCATTCGCGTTAGTGAATAGATGTTACAATCGAAAGCAAATTAAACAAAGAATGAAATCCTTTTCCAAATTACCACTCCCAATTTCAAAAAATTCAATTGTTTAAATACACAATCCAAGAACAACGGAAAAGGCAGTCTACCCGAAGCCAATCAGTGAAAACAGGGCGGTGTGAATTCTCTAAGTTAAATAAAAAATGTGATGAAATTCATGCAAAAGGCGTTTTGCTTCATTTTTTGAGGACGTTCTTCATATTCTATTTTTTAACCAATCCATTGGTCAACTCGGTTTCTTAACATACTGACACTTTAAAATAAATCAAATAAGAACAAAAGATGGAATTACTTAATAAAGTGGCATTATTTTTATTTAATGAAAAGTGAATACGTGACTTGATAACTCATGATTGAACAATTTCCCGTAGACTATTGATGTCTTGGCAATTGCTTTGTCAACAATTAATCGTTAAAAAAGAAACAGAGGAATTGGAAGTGATTCAAATCTAGGCTAAACTGTGTCGCATATATTTTTGGCCCCGTATGGACCTATTCGTACATGGTAAATGTAGAATTACGTTGCGACTCCAACGGCAAAATGTCCACTTAAGCATAAGGAAAGCCTCAAATAACTTCTTCAGGCAATAATTGCAAAAAGTCCAAACACGAAGGTTTTTTTTGAACACCTGAAGGTCAGTGTTTAAAAATAAGGTTAACTAAGACGTTGGTTTTTAGCCTAACATGCCGCAGAAGATAAGCCCGATTTCCCATATTTATTTTAAAAGGACACTTTTAGTGCGCATGCACTTTTGAAGAGCACTTTTTTAGACTGTGTATGATCAGATTAAAAGCGTTTTGGCGGTCCATTATTAGTCATGGCAAATTTTAATCACGAAATACCAGCCGAAAAAGTAAAAATAACAAAATATTAAAATGATGGATGACAGATGGGGTTCGAGCAATTAAGTTAGGACATCATGAGCTTGATTTATTTGAGTTTTAGAAATTGTTTACTTTATCGGAAGGCGTACAATTAATTTTATTTACACAGATGTTCCAAAAATAATTTTTTTTTAATTTTATCCCTGATTTAGTTAATGCATGCGATAGAAAGTGAATCTCAAAGAGATGATTTAATTGATTAATTGTTTATGGGGCTTGAATTCACTCATATCTTCTCTCATGCGGACGCAACAAGTGAATATACTTCGAAGGTAATAGAACCCCCTAAATCACACAATTGTTTCTACGAAGTGCTGACGATTCTTCGGCATAGGGGAAAAACTACCAAACTTAAATATATAATAATTACGACAATAGTATCAAGGAACCTATTCAATACAAGTTTCCAATGCATACGCGACTGGAAATATATTTTGTGTAAGCAATTAAAAATGGGGCACATTTATGAAACAAAAAGATGGGTAAAAGTTGAGTGAACTGTGTGTGTATGAAGCACAGGAAGGATGCAAGTAGGAAGTGCAAGCGAGGCTGTTACCGGAATCCACCCACTTTCATTTATACCTCCTCTTATACCACTGATATTTTGAAAAATTGTGTGCAATGTAAAAAACCGGCGTATTCCAATGATATAATGCAGTGAATCTAGTATTCTTATTCATGCCTATATAACTTTTCCTCACAACTTGGCGCATTTAAAAAAATTAGTTTCAATGAGACACATTGTTAAAAGATATATACCCATTCATTGCTATAAATAGGAAGGCCGTTAATATGGCTTCCTTCTTTAGCATAAACAAGAATCCAATTATCTTATTAGCCCTTCAAAAAAACAATAGCGTCTTATCTGGCACAACTATAACGATTTAAAAGGTTAGAAGTATGTTGCTTTATTTGGCCTCATTTAAACCTACAAACGATTACAAAGACAGCAATATACGCCATAACGCATAAAGTAACTATTTGGGCATTCAACTTGCATTGAACTAATGTGCAATATTTTTGATTGGCATTATTAATGGCTCATGCGCAAATTAAGGTGAGTGCATAGATTAGTGCAAAGGCCGTTAGTGGACAACCGAGTTCCTCTAAAAACCCTTATTAGAAGTTAATGCCACCTCCTGGCATTTGGTAGAGCCTAATCGCCCCTAAATGAATAGAAGTGCCGAACTTTACAGCCGTTTTCGGACAAATATCACCGTATAAAATAACTTAAACTGACAAAAAACTTAACAGTTGGTGACTTTGGAACCGCTTTTCATCGTCATTGAGACGATTTTGTTGTGAAGTTGTAAAATTTCATTCAAGCAGAGACATGCTTCAATCAATGGTAACAGAGAAGCATTTTCTTCTTTTTCAATCATAAAAAACAATTTCAAGGCCTGGTAGCAAAATATTATTCATTTGGATAACGTTAGAAGCACATTGGTATTGCTTTGTGTTTACTGTTGGACATTAATTGACCTATAAAAGTACACCCTAATTGGTGGTATTAAGACCCCATGTAGTTGTATGCGCGACTTCCCGCAAACCTTTTTTATAACCGTCCCATAAATAAAGTAAACTGTACCTTATGGAGGCAAGAAAACAATTTATCCGTAACGAATAATAATTTTTGTGGAGAATGTGACCTCTTACCTCCATTAAAAAGTGGGCCAATTGCGAACACTTACCCTAATTTGCAAATCGACTGGACTGGAGTAACAAGAATGCTATAACATTGGATCATAAGGGTTATAGGCTTTATTTCATTCAGATAATTCATGTTTGCGCATTGTACTCATATTTGAATGCCCGAATTCAGGATATATCTTCATTTTTCCTGAATTAATATATATTTAAGTCCTCCAGAGCTCCAAAGATAGTATATATCAAGAAACAAGCAGGATGATAAGAACTCAACAAAACAGAGTCCACTAGAGGTAAACTTAACAAGGAGAAAATGCTGCCTTCTAATCTCGCCTATAATAAAAGTAATAAAGGTTAGAAGAAAAACTACTTAATCAGAATTTCCCACTTTTCGGTAACTCCAGAAGAAAAAACGATGGTACCCAACATCTGGGCCCAAAGAAAAAGACTAGATGGGAACCAGAGGCAATGCCGTTTTTCTGTGGTGATAATGGGGGGACAGGATTGCACAATCTATCGCCGTTATGCCTCCTAATTATAAAAAACCTATTTGAATGGTGGCTTAGCTCTTCCTTCAAAATATCTATAATCAAAATACAGTCAAACTTAATTCTGATGAAAAGGAATAAAGCCATGTTTACCGCTTTTTGGTCCGCCTGAGGAATCCAAGCACATTGAATCTCCAAATACTGCGACCCTTCCTACAGAACCTGGAGAGTCGGAATCATAAGTCCAAAGGCCAAGAACAGGAACTACTGGGTCCATCTTAGTAGGAACTGATCGCAGATTTGAGAAGAGGAGCTTCTGTTTAGTATCAAATGAGCGTGACATCCTCGTATTCAAGCCTCCAGCACGAATGATAACCTGCTGGCCGAGGTCAACAAGAGGAAGAGGAAGGACGAGAGAACGACCTTGGGTTGGCATAGAAGCTAAATAACTTCCAGAAGGATATGTTGCTATAAGGCGAAATAAAACAATTAATTATTTAAATTAGCACAGATAGATTCCAATGGAAGAAGAGAAAATCAAATGGCGATCCCTTCCTTAAGTTGTACATACTACACCATGATCCGTACTAGTACTCATATGAGCTTTATTTTAGATGAAATAACCTCAACTTATTTTACCCCCCCCCC